ACAGAGAGAGAGAGAGAGAGAGAGAGAGAGAGAGAGAGAGAGAGAGAGAGAGAGAGAGAGAGAGATGAGGAGGGGGGTGGGGCAACCACTCTCTCGAAAGGAGACCTTACTACAGAGCAACCGGTTACAGAAAGTAAATAAAGGTGCTGACGATAGAGGCCATTCATCCAATTTTTGAGCTGACATTTTAAAAAATATTAACTTTTATTTCTCTATGGTACGGACTAAGATTGTTTAAAATAAGTTAAGTTCCATATTGTTTCTTCGGCTTACATTTGTGAGGCAGCGTGGTGGAATCATGCTCTCGTCAAAATGATCAAAGTGAAGAAACTTGCATTTTTCCCAAGGTTTGTGAATGTTTATCAAATTTTTGTTTTGGGCTCAACACCTTTCATATCCATTAAAGAACTCATTTCTGTATGAGGTTTTCTTAAAAATGTTGATTAAAAGCACAAAAAATGTAAATTTTCAGTTACCGCAGATTCTAAAATTTAGGAAATAACTAATCTTTGGCGGCCATTTTCTCATTAATTTTACCTCTGAAAACAGGTGATCCCCCCACCTCTTCCACCACGCTGCCTCACATTTGCCTCAAAGTTGTTGCATCATGTGGAAGGGCACTTCGCCCTATGATTAAGAGCTGTTTTTCTGCTTTTCTGGCGGCAACCAAAAAACTAGCGTACTTACAGCAAAGTCCCACTTTCTAACTATCATTAATTAAACATACTGAAAAATTCGCTAACTTAGAATTACAAAATTTCATGAGGCATTTTTGCCCGTTTTGAGTAACTAACACCAAGGGATCTGAAAACCAAATGTTAGATCTGCTCTATCAAAATCGTAAAGTTATTCGGAGTCATTATCAAGATATTCAAAGAACTGCATTCGAAAAAGGTTGACATATTGTTTGATTCAAATTGTTTGTGACCTCAAATTTCTTAAAATTAGTTACTGAGCAGACAGAACTTTGTAATTCTCAAGTAGTGACTTTCCCATGGTCTATATCATTTTTGTTTGCGTGCTATTGTGATAGGTTTTTGTTGTTGCTCAATACAAAAGGTGTTTATTTCGCTTATTCTAATTTTAAAGTCTGGCTCATCTGAAAATACTGCAATGATGTTAAATTGTACACCAATTGAAACAGACAAGAGAAAACATCGATTGTTTGTGGTCGAATTCAAGTTCATCAAGAACCTAATTAAGTTAAATTGATATTATACTTTTAGTATCAACATTCGAAATGCATGAAAATCGGATCATTTTGTCAAAAGTTATTCTCAAATAGGCATCATTTGAAATTGTATGTGTATTTGTATTTCTAGAACAGACGGACTTTTTTGGTAATGACGTCACCCGCACATCCTCATTACCAAACGCTTCCGTATGCGCCCGTCTCCCCTTGTGCTGTAACACGCAAACAATACGCGTCAAATCCTAGCAACAAACGGCGGTGAGTTTAGTAAGGGAGCCATTGTCTACCTCTCGCTGTAACAGTAGCAGATATGTCACACATTGACGAATCGTTTTGGGGGGAACAATCCCCGTTAGATAGACAGGCAGGGAGGTAGGCCTCACGGAGCACGTGTCGGGGCCTGTCCTTCTACAGTAAATAGATTGACGTCTTTTTCTGCGCCCCTCTATATATTTTGTTGCATTTTTCCAAACGAAAGACACAACGGGGACCTAGCAGGACTACGGTAGGTGTCACACGAACGAAACCATTCACATGGACATCGGATTTACCTGAGGGGGGGAAAAGCTACCGAAATACTGAGTAGCAAAAACGCTGATGAGAATTATACTGTGGCGTTGAAAAGAAACTTGAAAATGTGACTACCCTATCATCGTGTTAAAGCCTTGCACCACCCACTCATGTAGCATACCAATTTAAAGCAAAATAAATTTTGCATCATCTTGCGCATTAATACTTTATCTAGGAGTCGACCGAATATGGCCACTCAAAACCTACTTTTAAAAAATCCGATTAAGCAAAATTATGTGAATTAAAAGATATGTAAAAGTGTGTTCGCGCGTGTATTGAGGTGCATCAACATTGGTAAAATGAACATACATTGCATATCAATTAAAACATAGAGAACTTTGTCTCAGCAATAAGTACTGTTTTATTACAATAGTTTCAAACAGATCGGAACCTGATCCCTCACAAATGTGACACAAAACATTTTTGAGGAGTTACTAGTTTTGTTTAGAGTACGAACGCGTTGGGCGTGGACTCTATAAAATTTTGGACAAAATTTTGTGTCAGTTTATCCCAAATGCCACAGAAAATGGCAAACAAAGCTGTCTGTATTGGAAGCGTTTCTTCAGTTGCTGTTTAATGGGGTTCACGTACCTGTTACGATTCATATCGGGGCTAATTACAGGTGACCACTCTAGCGTTGGAATGGTTTCGTTTTCCAAAAATTATCTAGTGGCATTGGTCCTGTAAGAAAGTGCTTTGTTATTCATTTGGTAGTCAGCTCTTTTTCAATTCCACCAATGTTGATGTAGATTACTATACGCGCGATCACACTTTTACGTTTTCTTGATTTCGCACAGCTTTGCCAAGTGACCATGTCTCGTGCGAATCGCATCATGGGTGTATTATTAATGTGTCAGATGATGCGAATTTATTTAGCCATTAATTGGTTTGCTGTATGAGTGGGGAGTGCAAAGAGTTTTAAGGGGGGGGGGGCTACCCCTGAAGGCTGTCTTGCTTATTACTGGACCGAATTTTACCACATTTCACTCATATAACAAGCATAGTAAGGAGTCTTAAAATCCGCAATCAAATTTGAGAAAAAGTTTCGTTTCCATGGATACGGCGGCCATATTGGATTTTGTTGACATGTCTTACGTAATGAATACCATGGAAATTGATTGTTTTTTTTGGCATGCGTGTTAACAAACATTAGATCTAAAAATCTGTCTGTTGTTTTTTTCCTAAACGAATTTTTTCCTGAGGTAGCATTCAAGTTTGCAAAAAATCCGTGAAAATCCACACTCCAGACTGAAAATTTCATGAAGCTTGGACGAAAAATGGTGGCGTTATTAAAAAAAAGTATAGAGAAAAGTCGCGTTTTGAGAAAACGGCCGATAAAGAAAAATAAAATATTGACTTTATGAGGAAATGGCGGTGACAAACATGCCCAGTATGGAACAAAAATACGTTTTTTTTGGGGGGGTTCTTATGCGATGAAATAGTTGTAGGAGAGGCTGAGGAAGCTAAAAATGCCTACAGCTCCAATTCCATAATTTTGAGCCGAATCTTGACTTTGGGGTTGTAGCCCCCTGCCCCCCCCCCCCCCTTTTAACACAATGATCGAGTGATTGCATTGTCAAGTTTCTTTTGGATGCCACTATATAACATGACAATGTATACTTTGCCAAAGATAAATGTAAAACCATTTACTACTACTACTACTACTACTACTACTACTACTACTACTACTACTACTACTACTACTACTACTACTACTACTACTACTACTACTACTACTACTACTACAGGTGGTCTATAGGTTAAGGTGTTTGCCTCTCATTCAATAGATCCCGGGTTCGAAACCTGACTGCGACGGACAATTTTATTCTCTAAAACTTCCTTCTTCACCCCTTCTCCTGCTCTCTAACTACGGTCTGTCGTCTGCTTTTGTCTCCATATTTTGCTCCCCACCCTTCCCCCTTGCCCTGTCCTCTGCACTCCTGACTCTTTCTGCAGCCTTTCTACTGCTACTTCTGGTTCCTCACTGCTGTCTTTCAGCTACACCTCTGATCTCATGGTAGGTAAGATCTAGCACCGAGCCTTCTCGGTTAAGGGCGAAAAAAAATATCGGTGATTCCATGTGCAAGTTGTGCACGTTAAAGATCCCTTGGTGGTCTGAAAATCGATAAGAGTGGGCTTCGGCCGCCATCTGGGAGAAATTCAAAATTCCTACCAAAGTGAAAATGTAATGTGTCCCGCGCGTTCATAAGAACTTGATATGCAGTTGCGAGCTCCGTAAAACACCTAACTACTATTACTACTACCAATACCACTACCAGTACAACTACCACCACCACCACAACAACAACAACAACTACTACTACTACTACTACTACTACTACTACTACTACTACTACTACTACTACTACTACTACTACTACTACTACTACTACTACTACTACTACTACTACTACTACTACTACTACTGCTACTACTACTACTGCTACTACTACTACTATTATTATTATTATTATTATTATTATTATCATTATTATTATTATTATTGTTATTATTATTACTATTATTGTCATTATCATTATTCTACATAATAAAGTAAACTTTATATAAAAGACATTTAAAAGAATGAAGACGAAAGTAACAATAAAACAAAAATGAATTCCATTGTCATCTTTCATGGATGAATATTTGGAGTAATTTTCTTTTATTCAGAACCCAACGTTTTATGTTACTGTTGTACCTTGTACTATTATTGTAAAGCACTCCGAGCCCGTGTACTTTAATCGGGGTTGAGCGCAATATAAATGTCTTTTATTTTTATTATCTAATACGTTTAATAATTATTTCTCAGAGCTAGGCACAGAAACAAAGGGCTACACAATGGCTATATTCACAGCTGAAAGGATAATGTGGTCATCGTTGTCCAAGGTAAGTTGGAACCATGAGAGCAAACTTTTTATGGGTTTCATTTAATATTTTTCAATTTTGGTTTAACTAGCAGCTTGACACGTTATTACTGTTATTTTGAAGGCATGGCAATTGCCCCCCCTCCTCCCCCCTCCCCCCTCACACACAAACACACACACACTCACACATACACACAAACATGTACGCAGACACGCACACTCACATCGCGTGCGTGCACAAGCTCCCTTTTCCCTCATTTCTTTAGTCTTGAACTTTGACTAACCTCTCGTTAGACAATTGTAGTAACAACCATGAATTAGATAGTGATCAGATTTTTGAATCTCTGACAGATCATGTGTACTCTAGAACCTGAAAATTAAAAACCTATCACAACATTTTCACCATGCTTGCTCAATTTGTTGTCATGGTTACCTTATCATGATGAATATTAACACCTTTTCCTACTCTGTAAAACCAACTATTTTTACTCTACACACTTGAAATTCTGTTAATGCCGACAAAAACGTATAATTTACTATTCAACGTAACAGCTACTGATATGATTGCTCTGGTAACGCGATGTAAACGCGATGACCATGTCCGCTTCGATCAGAGTCCTAAGCGCAGCGCGTGTCTAGCACAACTTACTTTTTCATCTACAAATAGCTGTCTCCTTTGTCCTTCTATTAGTTTGGGGAAGAAATGAAAGTCAAATAGAGCAAAGGGATATGTTTGTTTCGAAAAATTAAAACATATGAAGAAATATGTGTGTTTTCATTGAGTCTAGAACTGAAAAGACAAACAGCAGAAAGGAGAAAAACAGGATCACTATGGCAGCAGAAAGCCTGAAGCAAGCGAAGTGTTTTAAAAGTGATGCAGGTCATGTTTTTCGATCACAAATGTGTAGTTTTGAATTGGCTGGTTCATTTTTGGCACAGAAGTCAATGCAGATCAAAAAGTGGTTCTTCATACAGCTTTTTGATTTATTCTACTCATTTTAAACTGGCCTCTACTGTATGGCTTTGAGTATGAACTCTGTAAGGACGTAGGTGGCACATATCCTGTCCTACCAGCAACACACCAAAGACAATGTTGCCGTACATTTCGAAACATCATACTCATAATATCACCATCATCATCATCATCATCATCATCATCATCACCATCACCATCACCATCACCATCACCATCACCATCATCATCATCATCATCATCATCATCATCATCATCATCATCATCATCATCAAATGCCTAATATACGGCAGACATAAACAATCTTGGTTCTCCATTTGTTCCTTTGCTCGAATGCTTATAAAAAAGCCACGTTACCCTAATCTTTCCCCGTTACCCATCTGTCTAGGTTCTCTAAGTAGGTTGCCCTGGGACGACCCCTGCCTCATTTGCCTTCAATATTGCCAATGAGAGCAAGATATTCAAGACCTGTATGTCTATCGAGGTGTCCCCAAAACGACATTTGTCTATTCCTGATTCTTTTTAACAGTGGTTGTCCCATGTGCGCTTCATCAAGTACTACCTCATTTGATTTCTTTTCCTTCCACGATATTCTCAGCAGTCTCCTAAAAAAACCACATTTTTATTGCTTCTATTTTATTTTCACTGTTTTTATCACACAATGTCATAAATACGAATTTGTATATTAGAATACTTCACAGCGTGCATGTTTTTTGCGTGCTTTGTTGAGTAATAGATACAGAAAACAGAATTGGCAAATATGTAGGAATAACGAATATTATAAATAGCTTCTTTTTAAGAACTTCCCCGAAAAGCAGTGCATCTTCAGCGTTGTCGGATGACCAGAGCACACGTCCTCATTGATTTAATGGCACTCTCCAATATTGACAAATCTCCCTCCCATTGTGTTATTCTTGTCTCCATAGCTCTTCGCACTGCTTGTATGTGTGACGACCTCCGTACGCCCCCAGGCACTTATTCCATTAGCGGACCCATACACAAGTAAGTAAGGGTAATGTGGAGTCTTAAGTGTTTCTATTTCGATTCCGTGACCATTAAAACGCCACCATTGCTTGGCCTAATATCTACCAAGGTTTCTTAGCCAGATTTTATAATTGGTCGGGCAAACCCATCTGCAATGCATGCAGTAAAGGTCAGGTTCTCTGGTTTGCAAGAAAAAGGTGTAACCCTATTCCCACATTTGAAACAATATATATTTATCGTCACGGTCATAAAATACATGTGTAAGTCATTTTTAGTCATTTTGAGAAAATTAGAAGAAAAAAACCCTGTTTCTTTCGAACATTTGACTCTGCGAAACGCTTGAAGTTTCGTACACTTATTTGATTTTATATTTGTATTATTATTTTATCCAACTGAACTATAGTATTACCACGCTCTTCATTTCAGAACCATATACTCCAAACCGGCCAAAAATGACTTTTGCAATTATCATATGAGCACGATGTTATATCTGGTGTCTGCGTCTGTCTACAGTACTGTGATTCTATTACCCACCAGTTCAAGTTGGCTCTGTCATGCAGGATAGGAACCTCCCGCTTCCTAAATGATATAAATTGTGTCTGTTGGGAACGTGAAATATTTATAATCATTGACGTCATTTACGGGACAAAACTGCTTTAAGAAAGAAAAAAAAATGTAAGTCCACCATTTTAGACAAGTATTCGCGGGAAAAGATATGAAAAGCAACTAGACAAGAAACATCGCGCTCTGATCAAGTGCAAGAAAAAAGTTGGGATGACTCAGACATTGTGTGTTGTTAATGTGTTTTCTAAATGCTTTCTTTCATATCTACAGGTTCCGGTTTAGAGTATCCAATGACGTACCACTCAGGTCCCAGAGTGGGCAACCTTTGTGCTTCTACGCTTTGTCTCAGAGGTAAGGTCTCTCTGTCGGTCTCTGTCTCTGTCTCTGTCTGTCTGTCTGTCTGTCTGTCTGTCTGACTGTCTGTCTGTCTGTCTGTCTGTCTGTCTGTCTGTCTGTCTGTCTGTCTCCCCTATCTATATATCTTATATTTACAACTGGATGTTCTTTCGAAGAAAAAAAGTTTGTCTTTTCTATTGCAATGCTGGTTTTATGGCAGAATCTAAAAGAGCTATCAGTTTGTTCACCATACACAGGGGGTGGGTGGGTTACTTTCATCCATTTGCTCGGAACGACCAAAAGAAAAAAAAAAGATTTAGTCCATGGTACACTGTTCTCAAAAGAGTTTTCCCCGACCTTATTTACCTACGATACCTTTTTTCAGTTATCAGTAGCTATACTTGATTTGTGGTTTTGGCAAGTTCGATTTATAAAATGAAATCAGCTGTGAAATAATGTCTTCAACCCGGAAAAAAGTCACTTTTGCTTGGTTTGAAGACGCCGCTGGTTTTTTTTATGGCATAGAGAGGAATTTTACATAATTTATCTAGCATATATTAGTTTTTTTCTGTTTCCCTTTTTTCTGTTTTTAATAAAGATGTCCCTTAAAAATACGTCAGCATCGCACCTGCAACACTTGTGAAAGAGAACGTTTGGAGAGAACATACGTCTATAGTACAGTGTTGCGAAACCGGACTCGGCTTAATTTTAAAAAGTCAGCAGAGGAAAAAGAACATACTTTACATTTTTCTTCCTCCTGTACCATCAAGGGCGCCGTGGGGTAAGAGCAGAAGGGGAGAAATAACAATTTTCATTGCTACCTTATTGAGCGGCAAGACAGTGACACCATCAGGCTCTAACAACAGATTCACACGCAGCAGTGCCAAGAACAGCAACAACAATAACACTCACTGAGAGTGTGTCTGTGTGCATGTGTTGATGATTAGAATCAGCCTAAATTAATATACCCAGCAAAATCAAAATGTCGTGGTGGGGCCGGTAATGTTATAGGATTTTAAAGTCGAATGACTATCAGGTGTCCAATTTTGATACGTGTGTTAGACATGCAACTTCACAGTGGCTTGTTCTTGACTCACAGAACCCCCCCTCCTCCCCACCTTGCCCCTAGCCAAATCATACACACTCCCGACCATCTATGATCCCAATTCCTTTCAAACTCCCAGCCATTGGGCTCTCGTGGTTTAGAGATACGGCACTCGCCTCTCATTCAATAGATTCCGGGTTCGAAATAAAACATACAGCGACGGAAATTTATTTTTTCGAATTTGTTTTCGTTTCACCTCCTTTCCTGCTCTCTAACCATGTTCTGTTGTCTGCTTTCGTCTATATTTTCTGCCCCCCCCTCCCATTGTCCCCTCCTCTGGGCTCTTGACTCTTTCTGCAGACTCCTTGACTCTCTTTCAGCCACACCCCTGATCGTAGGATAGGTAAGATCTAACACCTGGCCTTCTCTGATAACGGTGGAAAAAATGTGTCCCAGGCGCCGTTATGGTTGCGAGCGCCATAAAACACTTACCAACCCCCCCCCCCCCCCCCTACTGAAAATAACCCTACCTCCCACCTTTCTCTTCTAGGTAGACAATGCCGTGTGGTACAAGCCTGCTCAACCTGCCCGCCCCAGGCGACCTGTTTGAACCCAAACCGGATCCCGTTCGAAGCCGACGACATCTGCCAAGCCCGCGGCTTCGTGCAGGCCGTTCTGCTGGACGGTATCACCACGGGCTATGAGGTGGAGCCACTCAGATGTGGACGCAGAGTTCCCAGCCGCTACGGCATGTCCTGCCCACGAGGCTCTAGCTGTGAGTTCCTGGCTCCCGGGAAAGGCCGTTGCTGCTTTGGGCGGGTTCTACGTCGAAGAGGAACAGTTCGGCGAGTGGTTGTTCGGAGGAATAATAATATTAATAATATCGGCTCTCGTTCCAACGTCTGCCCGAGAATCACTCCAGGCATTATGGGAGCGTGCGGGGGCGCCTTCTGTACGTCTGATCTGATGTGCCCGCGACAGCAGAAGTGTTGCCCGAGTGCCTGTGGGGGTAGGGTGTGTGCCTCGCCGATGTACAGCGATAGATCTATGCCTCGTCGTAGATCTGGCTGTGGGTACTGCCCGGTGGGCACTTTTTGTGACTTGGTCCCAGTCGCGTGTATTACGACACCGTGCGACCGTTATAGCCATGTCTGTGTGCCATACAATGCGTAGCTTTCACGAAAATAATAAAAATGTATTGCTTAAGTGATTCAGCTTTCATGTTGAGCTTTTCATTAATGTCTTCTTTAAGAATAGGAGTTTCACTCCCACCCCATCCCCTCCACCCGCCAAGAAGAAGAACAAGAAGAAGAGAAGAAAAGTTTCAATTTTCTTGCCTCTGAACCCATCGTCACTCATGGTTTCACGAGCCGTATTATGGAGGGGCAGACGAAAAGGGCTGAGAAGAGAGAGAGAGAGAGAGTGAATGT